ATTCGAACACGCGCTGCGCGACGACCACCGCGCTTTAAACAAAACAAAATATCTATTATGTCCGTAACTCGAAGTCTACTTCATTACGGGCAAGGCAAAACCAAGAATTTGGTGATTTTTGTGCAATTAGTTTTATCCATTGCACGGAATATGACGTAGATTGTGCCTTATATACTAGTAATATCTAGAGATATCTACAACAGTGTATCGAGTCATAACTGCTCAATGATTTTCATCTAGATCGCCTGCTTTGATAGCACCCTCTTTTCAGCTTGTTTAGTACATGGCATGCAAACATGGGACTCCAGAATATCAGGATCAGGATCGTGAACATGGGTATTACTGTGTGTGAAAGAGTCCCCATTGCATACGACAGCCTCCACTACGACCATCGGTGTCATCACGGTAGTACGTGGTCCATCTGTTTGCGTAAGCGCACAACGTGCGATCAACACCACCTCCACACTGACCACCATCACCGTCAGGATACCAACGATAACAAAGCTGTGTGTCAAACATCCAGTCGGGGGAGTTTACGGGTACTTTCAGTTGCCATGACATTCGACAACCACCGCCTCTCCCGTCAGTATCATCTCTATAGTAACCAGTGTAACTGTTGAGAGGTGCACAGAGTAAGCGAGCAGCGCCCCCTCCACATTGACCTCCATCACCATCAGCGTACCATTGATAACATATTTGTACCTGTAAATAGTAATGAACCAACTAATAGTTGAATATGCAGTTGATATATAAACATTATAAGACAGTATAATTATATTACAGCCATTATGAAATCTAAAATTATATGGATTTGGTACTAATGGGGACAAAAATATGTGTTTGTAATAGTGCTGTTTGATACTGCAAGTTGATTGGTCAATTGACTTATGATTTATGACGATACGCCAATACGTAATAGATTTCCAGCATGTGTCCCACTGATTGGCTGTTAGTATTCCAGCTTATGTGCGTGGAATGCATACATGCAAGCAACTCGCCGGATACTCATCGGGCTTATGTGACAGCCACAGGAGGACAACGGCAAGGGACTGGAACCGAGTTTACAGAACAATCAACGCACATGCTTATTAGATAATTTCAGTGTTCATCGAAAGAACATTCAACTTCACACTCGTATTCTTCAACTTACAGCATCAAACAACAACAGAGACAAAATCTAAGAAAGAATTCCCGTGTGCTGAGACAATTGGAGCCATGCGAAGAAAAAATGGGGATATTCAAAATTAATACAAAATTCAAGAAAGCCTGGCTATTTCGAGATGCACAATGTGATCCACAATATCGAGGTGTATACTCACAGGAAAACAAAAGGAATGCATTTGATTGTACATATCTGTTTGTACTCATGCAAATTTAGGTAATCAACACACACGGATTTTAACCCATAACAAACATTAAAGCGGGAGGGTCGTCACCTGCGCATGCGCGGGAATTGAGTCCCAAGCAACTATAACAACACACGCTAAAAACGCAAAGGCTCATGGATAGACGTTTGTTTGTAAACAGTGACACGCTATAGTCATCTGACGCATGCACAGGTGACGACTCCCCCGCTTTAAGGTCTATAAATTGTCCCAGTTTGAAATGAGATACACAGCCGTTGCCCATACACATATATTCCACAATGCAATGCAATGTCTTCAGTTTAAAGGTGCGCCCTCTAACTGGAGATTCTGCATCCGTCCCTGGTCCACCTCTCGATAATATTTAAACATACCTGACTGAACCAGTAATCATACACTGAAGCAGCAATGCCCCACCTCATCTGACATCCCCCACCACGCCCATCGGTGTCATCTCTATAGTAAGCGGTATATTGATTCACATCGGCGCAAAGATGTCTGCTTGCCCCACCGCCACACTGGCCGCCATCACCATCTGGATACCATTCGTAACACAAGTGTACGTGACGAGTAAACCAATTTGGTTTTTCTATTTTACAGTCGTATCCCAGCATTCCACATAAGCTGTTATCTTCCCGGGCATTGCAAGATACCCGGCAACAGTCTCCTCCGTCGTATGCGTACTCCTCGGTGTTGCAAGAGCGCTGACACCACCCGTCACTGATCCACTGGTCTTGACATGATGCTGACCTTGTAACACGCTTCCTGACTTCAGCCGTTGTCTCAATGAAACGAGTGAAATCAAGGTTGCACTGTAACTCGCTAGCCCGGGCAAAGAAATATTCTCGAAGCTGCTTGATGTTCTCGTAAGACACCATGTCGACACCGTCAACTTCGTCAAACAGTCGCTGAAGAAATGTACTGAGCGCGTCACAGTTCGATACTGAGGCAATAAACTGCAATGCTATTAATTCGTATTCTGTAAGTGTGATGATTGTTTCATTTGACTGTAGATTTATGTTTGTCTCTAAGCTCGATTCGTAAATTGTCTTGATTTCAGTTTGGTCGTTGGTCGTCCAGTAGTCAATCACACCGTCTTCGGCCGGATCGCCATCATTGATACTGTACTCGTTAAATATAAATTGAGGTGACTTCATTTTGGGATTCGAACTTGAGTTCTCCGATAAGTTCTTGGCTTTCTCAGTTACTAGACTCGGTCGTTGGTCGTGGTTGACACTATCAAAATCATCACGCCTTGCTTGCGAGATACACTTGCGTTGCTCTAATACCATATACACGAGTGCTGTAAACAACGCTAAACAGAGGCACATCGAGATGATAGTAACCAATACATAAGGTCTGGTCCGCGCGTTATTGCGAACAAGTTTTCGATCTGGAAAATCCATATTTACGTTCGTAATTATTGGTTTTATCGTTGCAATGCTACAATCAGTTGACACCAGCAAACGTTGGAGATATTGTCGCGATACGACCAAGTCCTCTTATGGTCACTGGTTGAACAAACTGTATATGTTAAATGAAGTAGTCAGAAACAACTGAATGATTGGCCAATGGGATTTATTCCAATTCCACGTATTCAATGTAACAACATCCGGGTCGATGAATCAAACATATCAAATTTAAGCTCAGACTAATATAGAATTCTAAGATTCACGTTACTGCGAAATCGTCAACAAATTACTTGTTTGTGTGCCTGAACATTTTGGAATGTTGCCAAGTCACGTGAAGCTCCACTTTATGTTTTTATCAGTGGGTCATGCAAGATCGACATTAGGACATTTTAAATATACAAAACAACATACTAGTACATTTCCATACGTATTTGCGATGACGCCATTCACTAATTTGTTAATTCAATCACAGTCGCGACCGGTCCTATGTACACATGTTTACATTAGAAATATTGATTGATATGTATAACCAAAAAATTAATGTAATATTTTCTTTACGGTGTCAATAAAATACTATTCTATTCTATAACAAGACAAGGAATCACGGTCCGACGAGGAGGCTCCATTTTTGGATAATACATCATATTGAAACACACAGATGTTCTTGTCATTATTACATTATTTATAAATCCATGTCAAATTATAATGTGCTATCGGTGCAACAAACAACACAATGCCAAATTTCAATGGCAGTTGAATCCAACCAGTCGATCAACGAGCGCGGTGCGCTACAACGTTCCAACGTTATTCCATTGGCGAATCCTCTCAGCGCAATAGAGATCGTAAATCTTGTTGCCTGAATTCAACCAGCCAATCAACGAGCACCGTGCGCAACTACGTCATTTGAAACGTCCCAGTGCCGAAAAAGGAGTATTGCCGTTGTTTTCGGGTAGGGGTGGGGCGGAAGATGGACTCACTCGGCACCTTATCATGCCCACACTGTTTTATTTAGTTGAAGCATGTATGAAACAGAGTCTATGTAAATATATACAGGATTTTAAATTTTAGTAAAGCTTATATACAATCTGCTGTGAATTCTTTCATCAAACAATCGAGCCGAGCGTTGAGACGGACATAACTGGAACCATGCCGAGGAAGCGCACCAAAACAGGTTCATTTTCTGCTCGTGCCAGAGCGTTTAGACGAGGAACGTAGTAACTGTGTACGTCTGCTAGAATAAACCCCACAGCATACCGTGCCGTGGACCGCCTTCTGCGTTTCCTGGAATACCGCCCTCAGTGTACGTGCAACTAAGCTTGATATTTATGGTATATATAGGTTCAATAGAAAACGGAAGACGAAAGATTTGTTCGTTAGCGTGGGAGGGGGGGGGGGGTAATCCGAAAATTCATTGCCTATTCTTGTTTGTGATTGATGCTGGCAACGTTTGGGGATCTTTACGTAGCTCCGTCTTCGAGAAGTGATTGCATTGACCCTAACTGCTCTTTAATGCGAGGAATTACGCAGTTTCGGGGGGTGGTCGTTGATATTTTTCAGATTGCAATGATTTTATTTTTAAAACGATATAAGAAACAGTTTTGCATTAAGGACGAGAGATTATTCTATTATAAAATATTACCGATAATAAAAAACTACTGTCACCGACCTTGCAAAAATACAAATACAAACCTTTGATATAATTAAAACAAACAAACAAACAAATAAACAAATAAATAATTAAATAAATAAATAAATGAAATACATTGTCATTTTGACACTCGAAGTAATGATGGTGGAAAACAAATATTTTCGACAAATAAAAAATATTGGGTCACCAAACTTTATAAGTACATTAAAACGTTTCCTGGAATCATTGAGATTTATGCACGACGTATAATCAGAAAATAAATTCTCCCAAAATAAGACATTTTTGAGATATGAAATAGAGTTTCTCCAAATTGCCATTATGCTCAGGAAATGTCATAGTTAAAGCTTATGAACGTCTTAGTTTTTACTCGATAGTCAGCGCAACAGTCAAAGTCGCCATCATACTATCAGGGGGAAATCTCTCTCCTTTCGGGGTCTCCACACTGTCGGGGGGAATCTCGTCTCGTCTCGTCTCTCTATCTCGTCCCCTTGAGGTACGGGATCGGGAAAGTCACTTTAACTTTACAGTCAAATAAGGCACACACAACGAAATACGTTTCAGCTCTCGTCTTAGTCGATCTTTTGGAGCACTCTATAAGACACAGCGCCCTGGGGAAAAGTCCCCAAGACTCTCACAAGGCTGAACCAAGACTCGCCCAAGACTGGACTCTCTCAAGGCTCGCCCCTGGACTCTCTCGAACTCGACTGCAGGACTGCACTCTCTCTCTACTGCGTCTATCGTCTGTGCTCTTCAAGACCAACTCAAACTCTCTTTATTCATTTTCAAAACTCTAACCAATTACAATGCAGTAAAAAGACTCTAGGGCGTAACCTTCAATCATAAAGCCAATCACACTAAGTACTGAATACGTCATATCTTTTGATTAATCGTTCACTACATTAATAACTACGGATGTCAGAATAGCGACGGTATCTGGTAATTAGTTCCAAATCACTGAGCCAAGTTCCGTCCAAAACTTCAAATAAGCCTACACGATGACAGACATAACACAGCAATTCGCTAATAATCAGTTAATTAAGTCGGTCAACAGATACGCGAAAACAAATTCATGACAATACGACGACCAGCGCCCTTTAATGTTTGATAGCTTATCTGTATGCATATTTTATTACTGCCAAAAAAAACATGAATTGTAAGAGTCGAATTTGTCCGTACTTCTGTACGCATGGTTTTACACACGAAGTAAGACAATACATTTGTATCTGTAGAAAAGTGTTTTCCCGTATTAGTTGAATCTCATTTATTAGTGACTGCATTTTGTCAAGGTAATTCTCAAGTCCTGGTATTTCTGCTTTCAGTCCTTTACGTTTCCTAGTATCCATAACAAACATGCCCGGCTTGGAAGTTGAAATTCTAGGGTCGCGCCTCAGGCTGCCAGTGGTCGAATACACGCTGTGGGAATGCTTGACCACTAGTAGCCCCTCTCATGTCACCATCGAAACCTGAAATGTAAGAAGGGACTGTTCATGTTGTATACTTTCCTTTTATTCAAAACATTAATTGCATTTGGGATTTCTGAATGTACTTCAAACAGTATTTAATCATATGTATTAAATCCAAAGTTCACATTGTGATCAAATGACACCACATAAGCTATGTGACAGTCATATCAGGACATAAGATGGAACAATATTATGTTAACATTACCTCAAAGCAATATTCAGCGTAGAGGAAGGTATTCCTTGGTAATATGATCTTAAATTAATATTCTTATATTTCGCCTAAGAATTTAGCAAAATTGTCAGGAAAACATGCCAAAAAGCACCAAAAATTCAAATTCGGTAACGTCCAAGTAACGACGGTGCCCCTTCTAATCACATAATTAAGTGAGCTCTCTTACAATGACGGTCCTCACGCACAGTGTTATCGCGAATTGCGAGTAATCAAGTAACCAAATCGGCATTCAATTTGTTCTTGTTATGACTGAGATTTACACCGTTACAGCCGTTCTGAGAATTATTCGGACAGTCAGTTAGCAAAATGACTTGCAACTTTGCAAAACACTTTGGTCTTTGCCCAATCTAGACTTGTCGGTGCCACTTGAGTGACGGGCGCGTGGTTTGGGATTACTATTACATAGGGGTTGTCGGCTTGGTGAATTGCAAGTATTATCTAGTGTGCGTCATTCTTTATTTTTTATAATTATATTGTAATTATTTTCAGTAATTTTGAAAATCACAAGTTGGGTGTTGCTTAAATCTGTCAAAAAATGTCAACCCCTCGCTCATTTTAGTCAGTTGTACCTGTTACAAACATAGTTGAACTCTGGTGACCTTGCCCTTTGTTATATAATATAATTCCCTTTAACATATTTTGTTTCAATATAAATATGCATTGTCATAATTAATTTTGAGTACAAGCAAGTTTTGGGGTTGAACCAACAGTGGGGAATCAGTCTACCGAATGTCCTTTAAAGATGTAAATATCTTACAAAAACATTGGTGCCTTATTTGTTTAATTATTTTAAGGGACATAATTTCCAGTTTTATTCAAAGTAATTCAGATATTTTAGTATAAAAATAAATGCCTCATCGCAAAAAAAAGTGCTG